GAGAGAGAGAGAGAGAGAGAGAGAGAGAGAGAGAGAGAGAGAGAGAGAGAGAGAGAGAGAGAGAGAGAGAGAGAGAAGAGGACTTACCTGCCCAGCGCCATAGCTCGCTCCGCGGTACCTGCAAGTTCAGTCATCGCCAGGTAAGTGCAGAAAGCGCCGAGCTTTCTTCTTCTTCTTCTTCTTCTTCTTCTTCTGCTTCTTCTTCTTCTTCTTCTTCTCCTCTCCTCTTCTCCTCCTACTCCTCCGAAGTTCTTCTTCCTCTTCTTCTTCTTCTTCTTCTTCTTCTTCTTCTTCTTTCTCAGAGTAGAGATAGAGGTAACTGCAGAGATTGTTTGGACACGGCCTTCTGCCTTATTGGACACGACATTCAGATCGGACTTACACTCTACATTGGGATTGAACTGTGTGCGACATTCGGAGATCAGACTTGGGTTGGACTTGGTTACCTCCTAMGTCCCTCCCYCTTCTCTCTCGCATGTCTATGGATCTCTCCCCATGTGTGTGAGCGGAAGGGCAATCTTTCTGGTGTCCTGCCCTTCCGAAGTTTCTCCCTTTCATGTTGATTGTCCACGTGTCCTTTTGATACTAAATCTTCCGCTGCGCTGCTTCCCAGCCTATGATGATAATGATACGAATGTATTGTTGTTGATTTCTCGTTGTTTAACTCTTTGCATCGTGCACATTGACACCTTGTGAATGTTGCACCTATGCTGCTGGTTGTTGCCACTTTCGTCATTGCTAGATCCTAGGCTTTCAGTGCATTTCACTTTCTGATATGCTACAGATAAGTTCAGAGTTTATATAGCTATAAGACGAAGAGGGTGCATTGAGCCTCACTGCTCGCGACACCTTGAACACACACACACATTGAGAGATTACACGACATCCACACTGGAGTCCAGAGATGCAAAGTCCAGATATGCGCAGTTTAGAAATTCCAACAGATCTGTGGTTCCGGTACCCTCCCCGAACGACATGTCAGGCCTGTTTTGGGTAATGAATAAAGAATGGCTGATAACTACAGGTCGGAGGAACCGCACGACGAATAACAGAATAGACGACTACTGGCCGGCACTACTTCGATCGTGGACGAAGATAATCCCTAACAAGACTAACAGACTGAAATCCAAGGATGAAGTACTAAGATAACCGCTCTTCGGAAATGAATGGTTAACAAACGAGGCCGACAACCCACTCTTTCTTGAACAGAGATGGCTGTCTTGGGTCAAGAATGTTATTTGAAAAGTAGACCACTTGTGGAAAGAGGACAGAAAAGAATGGATAACGGAACAAGAAATCAGCGTCCGTCTGAAAGGATGCCTCAGACGTGGGACCAATCTCCAGTATATACTTAGTCGTATTCCTCAGAAGTGGAAAGACATCCTGGCCATGGAGACCGGGCGAGTGGGGGCTTTTGATTCAAGACATAACCCCCTCTAGAGCCTTTCAATTCTCCCATATGCAGCAAGGATCACACACCAGAGCCACCTYCCTCTCYTTCCCGATCTCCCTCACTAGTACTGACATGCCAGCTATCCTGAACTGTGACGTCGAATCCTCCACAYTAGACTCCTTCCTCCTCAGGAAAGTAAGGGTCCTAGGCRCGTGGCCMAAGTCAATTTTCAGACCAGACACGGCGATCCRGTCCTTGGAGTTCGACCCTGCGGAGTGGGCCTGGACACCAAATACTACCAGCAGCTTCAAGACAAAAATCCCAATCCAGGACTATACAGTCAAACTTGGATACAGACTGTCTCTGAAGACCAAGAATCCAGACCCGGTTATCAAAAACAGATGGCGGAATCTCGTGGGTCAGGAAGCGGAAAAGATAACACAAATTCAATGGGAAAAATTCAAACGAATCAGACCAATTAAGATGAGAAGCTTGCAGTGGCTGATAGTTTACGCAGCATTACCGGTGAACCAATGGTTGCACACTAGACGGAACGCTACAAATCCTGACAGCTCGGAGCTCTGTACAGTCTGCACGGAAGGCGCGGTAGAAGACGTAGTTCACTGTCTAGTGCTCTGCAAAGAGGCGATCAAATACTGGGCGAGAGCCTCAGCACTTTGGGACTCCCTCTTCACGTCCTCCTTCCCCGAACAACCCATTCAACTGCTACTCTTGACTAACATCCCTGATCAGGTACGGAAGGCGGAAAATGTCTGGTTTGAACTCATCAGGAAAGTGACTCTATGGGTCATATGGAAGGAAAGATGTAGCAGAACAATTGAAGGGCGGTCCAATCCAAGGGAGAAGGTCTGGATAGAAACCAAAACAATGATTCAAGCTGAAATCCTTTGCAAATGGCGGAAGATCAGACAAGCCTGGACAGAAGACGAGGAACAGTGGAAGAAGGAGAGACTGAGATTCTACAGGAGTTGGCTGCTAAATGGCAAAGTTGCGGAACTACGGCACAACTCAATGCCTGAAAGGATTTTTCAACAACATGCAACGTCGGAGGACACAATCGTATCTTAGGTTGCAAGGAATGAACTCCACGACTCAAGAAACCCAAGGGACACGGCCAACAAGGAAACAAGGGAGAAAGGAAGACAGGTCGGAGAAGGCGTTAAAACGGATCGTCAGTGGGACGGTAAATAAAAGATATCAGCTCAGAAGCTCGGAAACACAGGCAGTCAGGCCAGTTTTCCAAGAGCGACCGTCGGAGGACAGGAGCGCAGAGCGCAGGTTCAGGATTTAAGGATAGACGGTAGCTATTCTAAGGGACAGGAGGGTTGAGCAGGGAGGAAGCAGGCGGGCAAGGGCGATGGTTGGGTGCCGTCTGGGTACAATGATACCATCTGGCAGATATGGACACCAGGTCTGAGAGAAGAGAGAGGGATAGGGCAAGCTGACAGACGATCCCCCACCATGATGGAGCAACCAATGCTGAACGAAAGATGAGGGCTTAGGGCTCAAGGTCGAAAGGTAATTCATCCAAAGGGGAAGGAAGACTGAGCGAGAAGGAAGAAGGTCGTTTAGGACAACTGAGGGGCTCCTTCTAGGTATATTGATATTATCTGGCAGATCTGGATACCAGGTCTGAGAGGAAAGAGAAGGATAGGGCAAGCTGACAGTCAATCCTCCACCGCGGTGGAGCAATCAATGCTGTTCAGGGGTCCTTCGGCCTGACCGAAGGAAGTGTGTGTGTGTTTCTATTGATGTAATATTTACTATGACTTGCCGGTGGAATAGGAACCGGACTGACGCTCCCCAGAATAGAAGGAGCCAGGACCATAAGGCCCTGTTTTTTTTTGACAAAAAAATAAAAATAAAAAAATCCAACAAAATTATCACATTAAACAGTTTTGGTCCTTTCGGAGATCCAGTCACCAAGCGCTCAACAGTGCAGAATTCAGCAACCCAAAATCAGCATCCTCATCTAAGGTAGGTGACTCTCTTCTCTCCCTGGGTCACTTTATCTTTCCTTCTCTCTCTCTGTCCCTCCTGGTCTTCTTCATGCATGCTCTCTCTCTCTCTCTCTCTCTCTCTCTCTCTCTCTCTCTCTACTTGAGAACTTGACTCTGAATACATCCACCGCTACTCAGCTCTATCCCTACTACTAACTTATGCCGCTATGGCCGCCTTCCCTCTCAGTGCAGCGCTGCCCAGCAGGGCTCTCGTGCACATGCTACTTGCAGATAGCGCACAAGCGCTTCAGCAGCACTTCCACACCTCTCACGAATGAGCAATCTCCCTGAAATGTGGCTGGCCAGTCCTTATATCGACTGGGACTGAGCCTCAACTCGTCCCAGCCTCTGCTTCCTTTGGCTTGACTTGGACCCGGTACCACATGCCCACGGCCTGCTTGCTTCAGAATGTCAAGGCCTCTGGTATTTTTTTCCCAAATTCTTTTCATTGGTGTGCTGCTGCTCGGGTCTGTGAGTCACGACTTTTCATCTGTGGAACATGACTTCTGACTGTGGGATGTGACTCTTGCTGCTGGGACACAACTTTTTCCTGGAGAAGTGTTCTTTGCCCGTGGGACATGACTTTTCAATATGAGACGAGACTTTTGCTTACAGAATGCAACTTTTGCCTTTGGGATGTGACGACTGTTTACCGGGTGCCTGTTGGACTGGACCTGGACTCCTAAGGTACCCACCCGACTGTGACCTTTCTGAACTGGCCGAGTTGGCCTCCCTTGGCTTGAGACCTTAACCCTGAAATTCGAATTTGGGGCCTGCATCGTGGAATGCCTTTCAACGGGGGGAAGCATGAAGCAGTTATAGGAGTCGCGGAGTCGGCAGTTATGGGAGAGTAACGAGAGGCTAAAGGGCATGGGATAATCAAGGCTGTTTGTTTCTATGGACGAGTATGTGGAGTTGTGAGCCATGTGGGCCTGAGTGGATGGAGTAGATCTGGGCTGAGAACCAGAGCGGAGGCTGTGGCAAGGGTTGGGTTGTTGGTAGTGCGATGAGAAGGATTTTGGCGCCTGCAGATCCAGTAGGTGGGGAGGGAAAGAGGAGCGGTGGAAGAGGAAGGTGCAGTGGAGACAGCGCTCGTTTTTTTTTGAAAGTCTGGCCGTGCTTTTTTTCGGCTTTTTTCCGAAGAGTACCAGAAGAAAACAAAAAAAATGGACCCAGGCTCGGCAAAACTCAGCGCGCAGAGAAAATCAGGGTCGGCAAAAACAGGCTCGGAGGTGTGGCCTGCTGCCTACTTCCATCCAGTTTCTCTAGGGCTCTCTACACCCTATTGCAGCATCGAACTTCAAGACTCTTTGAAACTATCCAACCCCCCGATGGGCCTAGCTCAGTCGGTACACCCATAAACTGTTGGAATACAAGCCTAAGTTCAAATCCAGATGCTGCAGTAACCCATGTCTGCAGGAGTCTGGGCCCTCGAAACGGAGCCCAGACGACGCAGGCCAAGTTCGGCCTGCGCCAGGTAGTGTGACCACACACTGCCCTTGTGAAGTCAAAAGTCTGAGTCAACTGTCAGGTCAAAGGTACCCGCCCAGGCCCTTGGTCGGATACACTCACTTGTTTTGCGCAGGTACCCAGGCAGCATCAAGGCCAGAAGGAATTCGGTTTCAGGCCAATCTGGGCCGTCTTTTGCATTGAGATCTGGACGGCTGAGGGATGCAGCATCCGGGGTCCAGACCCCGCGTCAACGCTACATAAGCGCTGACTTCCTGACTTTGACATTCATTCAGTCTTGCGTCAATGCTGACTTCACGCGTTGACGACGACACTGGCTCGACGCTGCGACGCTGGTTGGACGCTAGCTTTGTGCTGGCACTTGGGTGATTACGGCGACGCGATAGTGGCTCAGCATGGTGGCTGGCTTGCTATTGTCTTCAGGGCATGCTGACATGGCAGCTGCCACGCGTTGCTGCTGACGTGGCCGCTGCCACGTGTACTGTTGCTGACGTGGCTGGGCTACGTGACTGGCACTACTGGTCTGATTCATCGTCACTCAGGAGGAGATCATGACTGTGGGGTAATCGTGGACACATACCTGGTCATCTTGAGGTCGACACTGCTCCAGTGTGCGCTGATGAGAACTGACTGACGTGCCACGAGGCACATTGTAGTAGAACTTCAGATGTACGTTCAGACTATTGATTATTTGAGGTGGTGATTGAGGAGGAAGCCCGAAGCAGAAGTGGGCATTGTCTCTCCACTCTCTAAGTCTATTCTCCCTCCTCTCTCTTTTCGTCTGTGTATGATTCTCCCATCTCATTCTATCTGGACACGATCCTGATTATTGATAATCATCAGCAGGTTTATATTCATCTGGGCTTGCATTGTTGACAAGTGTCTTCACGATCTGGGTTAATTGCAATGCAATCAGATGAGCAGAATAACATAACTCTGGATCACTCAAGGCCGGTGAGCTCAATGATGAAACTATCCACCCCACTTTCAGCGACTTTCAAGACTATTTGAAACTATCCACAGTGATTGCACACCAGTGACCATTCTACATAACATATGAATAAGGTTTTAATTTTCCAGATGAAAAGAAAAATGAATATTCAGCTGGGTGGCTGGACCTGGCGTCTGGTCCCACCAGATGCTGTTGAGTTGAGCTAACTCAACGGCGGTGTGACATTTTAGGGTATAAACAATTCATAATTAATGATCAGAGAACGAAAGACATGCTCATGAAAAACTTTTGTGCCTCTATTTGTTCCTATTTTCAAAGAATTGCTTTGGAGAAGCGAAATATGCTTCGGTGTGCACAGTCAGAGTGAAACTCGCTGTGGGGAAAGGGGATATAGGAGATTACGTTGGAGGTTGAGATCAGCCAAGCCGACCTCGCCCACCCTTCTGTAAAACGAGCCGGTTACATGCTGAGGCTGGAGAACCAAGCACTGTCTGTCAGATTGTCCTCCGATTCAGGAGGTAATGATGGCTTGGAAAGGGAAAAAAGAAAAGGCGCAGCTGTTCAGAAAGTGTACGAGCCACGTGTATACAATGCCTGGGGGAGGGGATGAACACAGAGAACAGAGATGGAGAGAAGACAAAACAATGAACGACAAAGGGAAAGTAAGGGAAAGTAAGGGAAGTAAGGAAAAGGAAGGAGTGTGAAATGAAGATGAAGGCAAAGGAAAGGATAAGAAAAGCGTCAAGAATCGGTCCATTCTTGATGACAGAGAGGACATACATTGTAAGGATGAGGTGGATGAACACATGGAAGACCTAGCTGAGCATTCTCAGTACAACAATTGCCATGACGACTATACGTCACCGTAGTGACAGTACACATATTACGATTTTCAATTCTCAATAACTTTTCATTATGCTTTTAGGAAACGAACACCATGAGACCTCCTCAACCCGACAACATCAAGATTGGGAAGGGAAAAAGAGGAAAAAAAGGTCGAGATGAAGGCTGCAGCACCACAGGAACAATAAAGCTCCAACTCTTATAATAAGGATATTTAGGAAATGAAGTCAATGAGACCTCCGCAACCCGACAACATTAGATTGGGAAGGGAAAAAGGGGAAAAAAAAGGTCGAGATGAAGGCTGCAGCACCACAGGAACAATAAAGCTACAACTTTTATAATAAGGAGATAATTCCACGTGTACCCTGCAATTCTGAAGCCTGCAAAAGCAATGCTTTCCTCTCACCCAGAAAAAAAAAAGGAAAAAAAAAAACCAAAAAAACAAAGAAAAACTTCAGAAAGTTAAACAAAGGAAACCTCAATTCACAGCAACGAAAAAATTGATTCACAGACCAAGCTTCGGCTTTTCAAAACTTCTCAGCCGTGGCTCCTCACTGCCAGCAACAACCCCCGTCCCCTCTCAGCCCTCTGCAGTCCAGAAATTGCTCAATCAGCACAGAACTTCAGAGAGATGACCACGGTTTTCTGCTACAGTTTGTAGATCCGTTGCTGCCAGCAATATGCCCCGTACTTGTCTCCGCAAAATGCTCCTCCTTATTTTCCGACTGCTCCTTTTCTCCACTTTCCTCTCTCACCCCCGCAGCAGCAACAGGCTTCTCGCCAGCGGCGGTTGAAGTTGACTCGTCCTTTGTGATATTCTCTGTGTCGTTCTCGTTCTCCTTCTTGTTCTCAACGGCGACGAAGTCCGCATATCTCTGCATCCACCGCTCCATCTCCCAAAGCGTATGCATCGTACTCTCGCGAGCTCTGTACCCGTGACTCTCATGGGGTAATAGCACGAGTCTTGAGACTGCTCCATGTCCCTTCAATGCACTATAAAAGCGCTCAGACTGCATAACCAACATAGATTTCGATGACCGGCCACACAACAGATGCGGACAGTTAGAGTCTGTCTGTTACAAAAACTTACAAGAAAAAGAAGGCTAAGCTATAAAAACCACCAGGCCAGAAATCCTGCACGTCTTGGGTTGCCCTGATCCAGATGCAGATCCAAATGCCTGGATTGTACAGAGCCTGTTGGACGACCCAGATGTCAGGGAGCAGGAAATCAAATCCAAAAAGAAACAGTTAAAGCAAGGAAATAAAAGAACGCTGTGCAGCTATGTAATTGCAATAGTCTCCCGAGCCCTTCCTCTTCCCAACTTTCCTGGTCAGGTACATGCACATGGAGTTGATTTATCCTGGCTGCATGACCAGACTAGATGACCTGGGAAGGTTGGACTCCCTGGTAACATAGAATGCAACTTACAAGGTACAATTTTTCCCTCAGTTTAGATTCCGTAGATAGTCATGGAAAATCACAGCACAAACCAGAGCACAAAAAGGAACAATCACGCCATAAGCTTCATGTAACGTGGAAACACTGCAAAGTTGCAAACCACGGTACAAACTTTAGCCCACTGTAAACCATGGTACAAAGTACTACAAACTTTCGCAAAACATGGTACAAACTTCAGTCCCCCTGTAAACCATGGTACAAACTTACTACAAAGTACTACTTTGGAACATCATTTAAACCACCAGTTCACACGAACCTAAATTGACGAACCAAAAGTTGCACTTTTCCGAGTCTGACTGCTATAGTGACAGGCTGAAAAGAAAAATATTGGGGTTCCGGTACCAGCCTACCTTGAAACTCGAGTATAGTACCTCGTGCCAGCAGATGGCACCAAAAAGACGAGCGGAAAAAAAAAAAAAAAAAAAAAATTAAAAAAAACTACATCCAGATCAATGATGAACAGACGCCGTTGCCGTTTCATGGAAGTAACAGAAAAGAGATGCAGAAAAGAGATGTGGGGTAAGCATGGTAACCAACCGGACGTCCGGACCGGGTTCCAGACAGTCCGGAACAACATGTCCGGGTCCGGTGTCCGGTTCATGATGTCTGGATCCAGGCCCCCATGGCAAAAATCGAAAAAGAAGAAGGGGCGGCCCAGGACTTTTTTCGGGTCCTGGACGCCCTTTAAAAAATAACGGGGTGATTTTTCAGTGTCGTTTCACCCCACCGGACAGGGCCTAGAGGTCCGCACACAAGACACTGCAGGTTTTTGGGGTGGCGGGTTTCACACAGGCCCGAGCAATTTCAAAGCGACCGTTTTGACGTGCCGCACGCCGCTGCTGCCCGTTGGAGAGAGAGAGAGAGAGAGAGAGAGAGAGAGAGAGAGAGAGAGAGAGAGAGAGAGAGAGAGAGA